TATATATATATATATAGTGCGTGAAAGAGAGGGAGAGAGAGAGAGAGAGAGAAAGAAAGAGAGAAAGCGAGAGAGAGAGTAAGAGAGAGAGAACGAAAGAGAGAGAAATGATACATTAATTAAGCGATGTAATGTTGTGTGTAAAAAAGTAACCCGTATAAATATATAAATATAAATATATATATACATATATATAAATAAATAAATATATATATTATATATATATATATATACATAATGCACTGTCGCGTTGTACCATACACCGACAAAACACTTCGCGCCCCGCCGACTCTTCTCTTCCGCTCATTTTCGGAAGGCAAGAGACGGAACGAATTAAGGAGAAACGACCGTGGAGTATGGACACGGACAGGTTCCAAACGATTTCATACCACGCAGGGCCTTGAGCATTGTCTAATGAGAGAAGAGAGAGTGAAAGTGTTTTTCCTTAGTGAATTTACAATTCTTTCCAGGCAATTTGTTACGTTTGGAACTTGGAACGACAACTCATATCAGCCCACCCTTCGGATGTAGTAACGCGCACTATTATCACAATGAATTATTATGATTATATATATTAATTATTAATTATTATATTAAATATTATAATTATTATTATTAACTCTTTTCTTATTACTGTATTTTATTATAAAAATTATAAATTCATTTTAAAGTGAGAAAGAGGAAATAAATAATGCTTTTATGAATAATGATTCTATTCGCTCGAACTCTCACTCCATCCATGAAACTCGTCCTTGCTGTCCGACTTTCGATCATAAATCTGTGAAACGACAATTTCTATCGATTTTCAAAACTCGATTTTAGCTCTTTTTGTTGCTGATTATTAAGAAGTGATTCACCTTATAAAGGGCCGATTGGATTAATGCTTTGTTGTTCTTTCTTATCTGCTAAACGTAATCTCTTTCACACAACAATTAAAAACAAGTTTATCCATAATTGCCTCGCCAGTATAATGCGTGTGTCTGTGCCATGGATTGTTCAATAATAATTTTTAATTTTAACGGTAATCCATAGATCTAAATATTCGCGATAAAGAATCATTTATCTCGACGCTAGCAAGTGCTGTCGACGTATTAAAAGCCTTCGAGAACGACGGAGCACGAGCGGGACACGAGCTCGTGGGACGATATTATCGCACGGGCCGTTAAATCCCGGATCCTACCAACCGTGAAATGTCCCGTCATAACATCAGGTCTCCCTCACTCTATGTAGGTCGCGCAATTTCATTTTCTCCATCCAGAATTTTTATTCCGATCTTCGCTCCTCCTTTTAGAGATTCGCCGATTACGCGACGACGGGCGTAGCTTCGCGATCGCAACGGAAATGCGTCCGATATGTACTTCAGCTCTCGATCTTATTAACGAGAATGACTCGGCTCGCTCTTCTCGGGCCTAAACAAGTAGAGTAGCCACGTCACGCGATCATTACGAACTCCTATAAAGTCAATTCTCCCAAGAACTTCGCCGACCGGTCATAATTGATTACAACATGCGCAATATTCTTCAAACAATGACAGGAGTAACGAGAAAACTGCACGTTTTTAAAGACAAATACGTCGCCATTAACGAATTAACGAATCGGTTATAGAAAAAATAATTTCTCAACGGATCTAAGTAAAATATCTATAAAGAAAAAGTTTTAATATATTACAGAGATTTTATAAGCCTGCTTAAGACGGAATTAAAATTTTATTAGATACGAGAAACAGCATCGCGACATTCGACCTTTCTGACGTGGCGACGTCGCAATAGACAATTTTCGAGCACGACGCCGTAAACTGGATCAATATGGCAGAGATTACGAAATAAGATCGTTATGCAAAACAGTCGGAGGGAGTCGCGTCGGGGTTACGCCGTAGCAATTCGCGGGGGGAGAGAGGGAGAAGGGAGGGAGTGCGGTTAACGTATAGCGGCAAGCATGCAGGCCCGGGGGATGGCTTTTTCGGTGATTTAACCAAGGAGGGTGAACGTTTGTTATTCAATTTGCAACCCCCTCGGTACCAGCCACACTGCTCTCTCTCTCACCCCTCATCCACAGATCATCGCGCCTTTACGACCATGGCCGTACGTTTCTAATGCAGGAAGCGTTCCTCGTCGTCGCTTGGGATATAGCGATTGGTGGGTATTCTACTCCGTTTCGACGTTTCATTCTTCCGCACTTACGTAACTACTTTATTCCCCGTCTCATTCTTTTCGTTTCGTGACAAGATGACAACGATAATATACGTCGATCTCTTTGTACTGTACTTAAAGATATTACCGCTCAAGGTACGATTTAATTATAATATAGCTATATGCATTGTCACTATTTTCAAAATAAACTCAAATATAATTAATCTCTGTATTCTATATAATTATCTTCCACGGATCTTTTTCTCCTTTTAAAAGCATATCACGTTACACACGCCTGAAATGTTCCGAAAATAATGTAACTTGTCAATAAAAATACTAAAATAGAAGAATTAATACTCTCGAAAAGAGAAAATAATATTTAATAAAATAAAAAATAATATTCATCAATTTTATTATATCATTGAAGAAATTTTGTTTCAAAGAAAACCATATATATATTAGTTTTTGTGATTATATATTATAGATATATTGATAATCTCTCATCATTACATTTATAGAAATTACAATTTGATACAAATACAATGATATTCGATTAATTTTGAGAAAATGTCAATGTCAATATATTATCATTATTAAATTTCCCCGCAATTTGCGCTCAAATTTATGTGTGATATACTTATGCATGCGCATCAATAAATTAAAGAGACGGGGATTCTTTCCAAGAGAGATACATACGTCTGTTCTGCTTGCGAGTGAATAATTAGACGCGTGCGAGTGTCACGTCCGCGAGATCGTTCTCAAGACTCGGGGTCATTAGATCCGTCTGTTCTTTCGAACGGCGGTTGCGATAATAAAGGTCGCGCACCGTCACTAGACAAAGACACCGCTGTGCGATTAATTTCACGGCGGTGCGCCCCATCGCGATACAATTGAAACGAATGGAGCGGCGGGAGCGCTTTCATGAAGCCGGCGGAACGACACTTTGCTCGCAAACACCGACCCCGTCCCGCTTGGATCGCGTTCATCATGATTTATAAATGGATCACGAGTAACAAAGATGTAGATTACACAAGCGGAAAAATAAAACGTGTTATGAGAGCGATACGATAAATCTTATACTTATTTCGATATTTTACAGATTATTCATTAATGTATAAGAAAGCCGTTATTTAACTAATGATAATAACTGTTGATTTATTTTAAAGTTTGCTTATCGACTTGTATGACTTGCTATAAATATTCCTATATTCCACGTAATTATATGCAATTGTGTAGTGATATTAATCATCAATTTATATAATAATTGATTAATATATAATTATATAGATTCAAGCTCCAATCTTGTGGAGCATAAATTGATTGTACCAGAAAAACAATGAGTATAAGTAATGATTTTCTTTTTTTATTTTAAAATAATAAATCGAGTAAAAAAACACAAACATAATCAGTTTCATGGAATAAGACAAATTATCGAACGATATAGATAAAGTATTAAGCAAAGAAGATAGAGAAAACTGAATGGTATTCTGAAATGCCACTTTCGTCTATGATGTCGGCAAGGTTTAGTGAAAAAATGTGAACAAAGGAGAACGAAAGGTTCGTCGTTTCTCGCCCCTTCGTGGTCTGTTAACAAATCTCATGATCCTAACGACTTGACTTTGGTTTGGGGATACTACGGTTTCGTATTTACAAAAGCGAAACCGCCTCTTTTTCAAGCCCACCGCAAACTAGAGTTGCTAGTAAGAGAAACCAAAACGCATCTTTCTTCCATAGACCAAGTTAACATATAATAAAGAGCGACAGTTTAGTTACTACGGTATTATTTTTCATACAAAATTGAAATTATTATTTTTTGCTGAGAAAAATTTTACAAGGGCATCTTGAAATAATTTAAATTATTGTATCGGATAACACGTCTCATCTCTAGATTCGCTACAATATTATTCGCGAAATTTGTAAATCACGAACGGGACGGCGAGCGTAACCGATTTGCCGAATGTGCCAACAGATTAGTACGCTAATCCGAACCGGTTGTAAAGCCGAAGAGAGAGGACCAGAAAGAGATGAGACTAACGAGACTATGGTTAGACCCATGGTTTATAGACATATGGTTAACACAGTTACATGTAGTTTGCTTGGAAAAGCCGAGGAGACACATGCGCAAAGCTAGTACGCGTTTCAAAGGCCGCCGTTTTCGGGCGCACGCAGACACGCGCGTCGCACACGTGCTCGCATGAGAGAAGCACGCGAGTCCTGTTACCAAAGTGCCGCGCTTTGGAAAAAGCCGTGGCGCGATCGGAAAGCCGGCGTCTGTAAAATCAACTTGAACCTAGATAGAGATACGAGAGTCCTTTGAATTTTAGAGACCGCCGATCCTATTACCGGATACATGTACTGTGACGAGAAAGTGTAATTTATTATCACGCAACAGCCTAAAAGAAATCCTAGATGTGTGTGTATATATGCACTGTAATTCGGGGATAGATGGATAGATTGCTTGATCGGGGCTCAAATTTTTAAAACATGAGACAGATGTTTGTACGTTTGGTATTTTAATTAGGTTCAGTTCGATAATTAATTTTTCAATACTATCAAGCTTGTATATAGTATACAATTACGATTTAAATTTAGACAAAAGTGTTAACACTTTTTCATAAAAACAAAGAGAAAAATTAAAATAATATTCGTAAATATTAAGTATTATGTTTTCTAATGTGTATAATATCATTAAACTACATTATATATATTAAA